ATTAGAAGGCCATACTTTAGGTATTATAGTTTGTAATTAGAAGGCCATACTTTAGGTATGATAGTTTGTAATTAGAAGGCCATACTTTAGGTATTATAGTTTATAATTAGAAGGCCATACTTTAGGTATTATAGTTTATAATTAGAAGGCCATACTTTAGGTATTATAGTTTGTAATTAGAAGGCCATACTTTAGGTATGATAGTTTGTAATTAGAAGGCCAGACTTTAGGTATGATAGTTTGTAATTAGAAGGCCAGACTTATAACCAAAATCCATATAGAAGTAGGGTAGTAAAAGCAGTAGATAAAATACTGAAAAAAAATGTTTGATATTCATTTAGGAGGTTTTTTATAGGTTACACAAATGAAGTATTTTTATCCTTAACATGGAAATCACCTTGCACTCAAGTCAACACTGACTATATATATTCACAGACAAACCTTTAGTAAAAATACTTAATTAGAAAATAAGATTTTTTGTGTACAAAGGACTTGTAATATTTATTAAGAGCTTTCCAAATTTTATGAAGAGACATACCAGATTAAGAGTTATAGTATGGATACTGTCATTGTTACCTGGTGATTACAAGGTCAGTCAAAATGATCAAGCTGGTGTCGAGGGAGTTAATTAGATTTTGAATGTAACTCTATGAAAGGTCATGACATGCACATTTTGATACAACTGTACTCACAGAGTTCATATTTTAGCCACTTCATTTTGCTTAAAAGCTAAATTTTAATGCTACTTATGAATCTGGTCTTCACCATCAAGTATCTGTAATGTTTCTCTGAAAACCAAACTTTTATTGAATGTAACTGTTACCTTTTGAAGACTTGATGCTATGGGTTGAAATATTGTCATCATTGAAATCAAAATTTTCCTGTAAAAGTTGCTGTTATTTGTTTTTGCAAAAGAAATGTTTTTTAAACTGTTGAATCTTGTTACTATAAAACAATCTGATTTTTTGTTTTAATATGTTGTTAGAGCACCCATTGGTTGAAAACTAGGAACTAGTTTAGCCAACTTATTTATTTTTTAAGAAAATGTTGTTAGAACATGCCTTAGTAATTTAAGCTACTGTTGTACTGAAGATATATTAGCAATAATTTTATTCTGTTCATAGAAGAGGTAGGTTGTGCGTTTTTAACAAATTGAAACAGGTTTCGCGCAGGTCGTGAAAATCCTGAAGAGTCAAAGAGTTTTGTAAACAAGTTTTTCAGTACTTGAAATCATGGAAAATTGCTGGTTTTTATTGACAAAACCTTACCATTGTGTTTACCAGAGTTTTGAAAATGTGACACAAAACGAGAAATACAGTGATTTGGCAACAGTGATCATTAATTTCTCAATATAAACTCAGTGAATTTGACTGACGATGTGAACTTTTTGTACTTGTTTAAAGTCTTTATAGATTTAATATTTCTAACTCTCAGTATAGTGTGTATATCTTTACAAAGTTTGGCAGTCTTTCAGTTAACATTACAAGTCTTTCACATACAAAAAATCATATTTTTAGTGAAGTATTTTTTAATAAAATTAGATTTGCCCCTAAATATAATGAGTATATGTTTTGAATAGTCTGTGTGAAAAGTAATTTTCATATTAAAATTAAAAATACTTTCCTCATCTTAAAAATCTGAAATTTACTTTGTTTAATCCCTAAAATCTCCTAAATGTGTTAAAAATTGAAGTAAATCTAAATTACTCTTTTTTTTTCTTTCTAGAATGACTTCAAATTGTAACATGAAACTACATTAGTTTTTTAAAGCAGTTTTAAACTCATAACAATATAGATCTATTTATACTTGTATTGTTTTATTGCTCTTTGAACTGTCTGACTACTTTTCGCACTATTATAAGTTATAAATCACATTACACTATTGATTTACTCATAAGCTGCTCGCATGTGAGCCTCGTGAAACATTTTTTATTATATATTTTACCTAATCTAACCATCAGTAACCTAAAGAGATCCCTATTTTTACATTTTTTTGGATAGCTTAGGTGTTACTGTTGTTGCTAGACCTTTTGTACAGCTGTTACTGCATATTTTTAATACATTAGAACATTAGTTACTTAATTTTGATGGAGTCTATATTCAGTTAATATCAGTAAATTAGATTTTTGGAAGTTAATTTAGCCCTGAGAAATCCTGTGGGATTTATTTTTTGTTAGCCTATGCAAGCTGTGGTTGGGACTTATATGTAATCTTGAAAACCTCATTCTAAATAAAACTACTATGACACTTTCTTATAGTTTGCAGGCTACCCATTATAACTTAACATTTTCAGATAGTTTCAGCTAAACAAATATTTACTATTTAAATTTGGAAAAGACAGCAATATAATAAAATTATGCTTATCAGCCAAAATGGTAGTATTGTAATTTGATAAAATGTAGCACTACGGTGTGATTGATATATATGTATTTCAGTTTCAGTGAGATGTCACTTTGAAAGTAAAATTGTAATTCAATAAACAGTGTTTTATAATAAGAAATTATGTTCTTATTCTTGATAAAGTTTTGTGCTGTAAATGCTTTAATTATTTTTTGAAGGTGACGTTTTGAGGTAGAAAGGACATTTTAATGTACATTTTGAGAAGTCATAATTTATCATCTACTGAGATGTCATATTTCCTGTGTATTGTTTGTTCACATACTACAGTTTATACATAGTCAAGGAAGTTCATTGTGAAATATCTTAAATTAGAAAATATATTAATGACCAGAAATGCAAGCTGCTAAGTAAAATTCTAAGCTAAATGAAAAGTGAATTAAACAAACTTAAGTAAAGAATAAAGTGCATACATTTTCCTTTTTAATATTTTAGTCAGACTACTGAAAGAAAGCAGGAAGAAACTGTTAAACCACAAAAAGAATCAAAGAAAAAGGAGACAAAAGATGCAAAAGGAGAAAAAGAAACAAGGTATAATAACTTCAAACATTATATGCAAAGCAGATATAAAAAATGTAGCTATATCATTTTGTGTATTTAGTTTGTTTTATTTTTTCAAGCTAATAAACTTTCTTATGAGTTGAAATGATTCTGTTGATAATATAACGTTCTTTTAGGCCGCAGAACATAGTGAAACATCATAGTAATTAAAAGTTAATGTTACAGATGTTGGTTAAATATGGTATTAAATGTAGAAAATGTGATTAATTTTTTGGAAAGAATGGATTTCATTGAGAACTAGAAAGGGCAAAGTTAAAAGTATAGCAAAATAATAGCTTGTAAGAAAGCACTTATGGATGAATATTGTTCAATATTGTGACAGCAAAGAGGAGAAAGAGGAATCTGACCAATCAGCTCATTCACAGCGTGTATTGAAAGGAGTTATGCGTGTAGGAGGTTTAGCAAAAGGCTTGTTGCTCACTGGGGAAACTTCAGTTCAGCTTGTGGTCATGTGTGCAGAAAAACCAACACGCACATTACTGGAAAGAGTTGCCGACAACCTTCCTAAACAGATTGAAGTAAGAACAAATATATTATGCTAGCTGTTGTTTGTAAGATTTCTCCAAATTCTATATATTATTTGTAAATTATTTGCCAGATTCAGATGAATTATTTTGTAATATGTTTTTGGAAATAGTTTATTTTCTATGTATTTATTTTGGATTTACAAGAGGGAGAAGGTGAAGTAGCCTTATAGTATTTATCTTTGTCAAATTGTTTAGTTTACATGATGTCTGTAAACTTGCTTACATGACTTTAGAGAAAAATAATGTTCCTGATTTTGTTGCACATACAATGGGGAGGAAACATATTGCTTATTTGAGAAGTATTACTTATTTTTTTATTAAGTGTTAAAAATAATAAAAATGTCATTTAATCAATATCAGTGCTTGTTTTGTATGAAAGCAAATGACATCATTAAGCTCTATAAAATTCTGTTTGACCTCTTCTTTCAAATTATTTAAAAAATAAAACAAACTAAAGTGTTCAAATATAGAACATTTTTTGGTGCTTATTTGGCTTGTATTTGTGTTGGGTAAAGTAATCTAGAGTGCTAACCCTAATTTTGATTTTTTTTCCACCAAACTGTAATTTTTAATTGAGTGAGTTGAAATATTTAAACTTCCCATCTTCATTAATGAAACTTATCAATCTACAAAAAAAAACTTCAAATCTGTGATCTTTATAGATTGTTGCTTTTCTTTTAAATATAATTTGAATATAAGATGTTTGAAGTTGGTGTTGACAAAACTGTAAAATTCACTGGTTGAATTTTTTGTTTTCATTTTATATCTTCTTTGTTTCATAATGTAAAAGCAGTACAGAAGTAACGAACATAAGGTGTAGTAAAGATAAATACTATATGTTTATGTTAATTTTAACCATATATAAGATCTTTTATTGCACATTTTCTTTCAACAAACTGGGCTTGCATATGACATCAGTAAACATCTGATTGTATTGGTGCTAATAAGCTGCTGTCAAACCTGGCATTCAGGTAATAGTTATGGGTGTATATCTTAACCATATCGCAATGGGTCATCTGTCAAAGGCTATGTCAAAATTGTATTGAACTACTATATTATTAATTTATGTTAATAAGTTTGGTATCAAACTGTAGATTATAATTAAAATTTTAGTATTATACTTTAGTAAATTTCTTAAATCAAAAGTAAATATTAAAAAATCACAGCTAAACATCGATTTTTGTGTGTAATGTGGTATGTTGAATACAGCACTGATTCAAATTAGATATTTGTGATGTCAAAATACAAAGTCTATAGTTTTGTACGAATTAGGAACTCAAATTACCGATGTTGTAAAAGCTAGAATATAAAATAAGAGCTTCCTATCTTTTCAATTCGCTAAGATATTGCTCATGTAATAAATCAAACACAGTGGCACCACACCCACCTCCTTCCATTTTTGGAAACG